AAGTTGTTAAATTGTCACTATCTGCAGATGACATGATATTATACATAAAAAACCATAAAGACTCCACTCCAAAACTACTAGAACTAATATCGGAATTCAGCAAAGTTGCAGGATACAAAATTAACACACAGAAATCTGTGGCTTTCCTATGTACTAACAATGAACTAATAGAAAGACAAATCTGGAAAACAATTCCATTCACAATAGCATCAAAAATAATAAAATACCGAGGAATAAACCTAACCAAGGAAGTGAAAGACTTATACCCTGAAAACTATAAGATACTCTTAAGAGGAATTGAAGAGGAGACTAAGAAATGGAAACTCATCCCATGCTCCTGGCTAGGAAGAATTAATATTGTCAAAATGGCCATCCTACCCAATGCAATGTAATACAGATTCAATGCAATCCCTATCAAATTACCAACAGCATCCTTCAAAGAACTGGAACAAATGGTTCAAAAATTCATATGGAAACACCAAAGACCCCAAATAGCTAAAGCAATCCTGAGAAGGAAGAATAAAGTGGAGGGGATCTCACTCCCCAACTTCAAGCTCTACTACAAAGCCACAGTAATCAAGACAATTTGGTACTGGCACAAGAACAGACTCACAGACCAATGGAACAGAATATAGACTCCAAACATTAACCCAAACATCTATGGTCAATTAATATTTGATAGAGGAGCCATGGACATACAATGGGGAAATGACAGTCTCTTCAACAGATGGTGCTGGCAAAACTGGACAGCTACATGTAAGAGAATGAAACTGGATCACTGTCTAACCCCATACACAAAAGTAAATTCAAAATGGATCAAAGACCTGAATGTAAGTCATGAAACCATAGAACTGTTAGAAGAAAACATAGGCAAAAATCTCTTAGACATAAACATGAGTGACCTCTTCTTGAACGTATCTCCCGGGCAAGGGAAACAAAAGCAAAAATGAACAACTGAGACTATATCAAGCTGAAAAGCTTCTGTACAGCAAAGGACACCATCAATAGAACAAAAAGGTATCCTACAGTATGGAAGAATATATTCATAAATGACAGATCCAATAAAGGGTTGACATCCAAAATATATAAAGAGCCCACACACCTTAACAAACGAAAAGCAAATAATCCAATTAAAAAATGGGCAGAGGAGCTGAATAGACAGTTCTCCAAGAAAGAAATTCAGATGGCCAACAGACACATGAAAAGATGCTCCACAGCGCTAGTTATCAGGGAAATGCAAATTAAAACCACAATGAGATATCACCTCACACCAGTAAGGATCGCCACCATCCAAAAGACAAACAACAACAAATGTAGGCAAGGATGTGGAGAAAGGGGAACCCTCCTACACTGCTGGTGGGAATGTAAATTAGTTCAACCATTGTGAAAAGCAGTATGGAGGTTCCTCAAAATATTCAAAATAGAAATACCATTTGACCCAGGAATCCCACTTCTAGGAATTTACCTTAAGAATGCAGCACTCATGTTTGAAAAAGACAGATGCACCCCTATGTTTATTGCAGCACTATTTAGAATAGCCAAGATATGGAAGCAACCTAAATGTCCTTCAGTAGATGAATGGATAAAGAAGATGTGGTATATACACACAATGGAATATTACACAGCCATAAGAAAAAAACAGATCCTACCATTTGCAACAATATGGATGGAGCTAGAGGGTATTATGCTCAGTGAAATAAGCCAGGCAGTGAAAGACAGGTACCAAATGATTTCACTCATATGTGGAGTATAAGAACAAAGAAAAACTGAAGGAACAAAACAGCAGTGGAATCACAGAACCCAGGAATGAACTAAGTTACCAAAGGGAAAGGTTCTAGGGATGATGGGTGGGAAGGGAGGGATAAGGGCGGGGGGAAAAAAAGCGGGCATTACAATTAGCATGTGCAGTGTTGTGTGGGGGAATGGGAGGGTTGTACAACACAGAGAAGACAGCTTGCTATGCTGATGGACAATGACTATAGTGGGGTGTGTGGGGGGGACTTGGTGAGGGGGGGAGCCTGGTAAACTTGTGTTCTTCATGTAATTGTAGATTAATGATAGCAAAAAAAAAATACATCAAGGGGATCATACACCATGACCAAGTGGGATTCATCCCAGGGATGCAACGATGGTACAACATTCGAAAATCCATCAACATCATCCACCACATCAACAAAAAGAAGGACAAAAACTACATGATCATCTCCATAGATGCTGAAAAAGCATTCAACAAAATTCAGCATCCATTTATGATAAAAATTCTCAGCAAAATGGGTATACAGGGCAAGTACTTCAACATAATAAAAGCCATATCATATAAGCCCACAGCCAACATCATACTGAACAGCGAGGAGCTGAAAGGTTTTCCTCTGAGATCGGGCAAGACAGAGATGCCCACTCTCCACCCTGTTACTCAACATAGTACTGGAGGTCCTAGCCATGGCAATTAGACAATCAAAGAAATACAACCAATCCAAATTGGTAAAGAAGAAGTTAAACTGTCCCTATTTGCAGATGACATGCCATTGTACATAAAAAACCATAAAGACTCCACTCCAAAACTACTAGAACTAATATTGGAATTCAGCAAAGTTGCAGGATACAAAATTAACACACAGAAATCTGTGGTTTTCCTATGCACTAACAATGAAGTAACAGAAAGAGAAATCAGGAAAACAATTCCACTCACAACTGCATCAAAAAGAATAAAATACCTAGGAATAAACTTAACCAAGGAAGTGAAAGACCTATACCCTGAAAACTATAAGATACTCTTAAGAGAAATTAAAGAGGGCACTAGCAAATGGAAATTCATCCCATGCTCTTGGCTAGGAAGAATTAATATCAAAATGGCCATCCTGCCCAAAGCAACATACAGATTTGATGCAATCCCTCTCAAATTACCAACAACATTCTTCAATGAACTGGAACAAATAGTTCAAAAATTCATATGGAAACACCAAAGACCCCAAAAAGTCAAAGTAATCCTGAGAAGGAAGAATAAAGTGGGGGGATCTCACTCCCCAACTTCAAGCTCTACTACAAAGCCACAGTAATCAAGACAATTTGGTACTGGCACAAGAACAGAGCCACAGACCAGTGGAACAGAACAGAGACTCCGGATATTAACCCAAACATCTATGGTCAATTAATATTTGATAAAGGAGCCATGGACATACAATGGGGAAATGACAGTCTCTTCAACAGATGGTGCTGGCAAAACTGGACAGCTACATGTAAGAGAATGAAACTGGATCACTGTCTAACCCTATACACAAAAGTAAATTCAAAATGGATCAAAGACCTGAATATAAGTCATGAAACCATAGAACTCTTAGAAGAAAACATAGGCAAAAATCTCTTAGACATAAACATAAGTGACTTCATGAACATATCTCCCCAGGCAAGGGAAACAAAAGCAAAAATGAACAAGTGGGACTATATCAAGCTGAAAAGCTTCTGTACAGCAAAGGACATGATCAATAGAACAAAAAGATACCCTACAGTGTGGGAGAATATATTCATAAACGACAGATCTGATAAAGGGTTGACATCCAAAAAATAAAACGTGCTCATGCACCTCAACAAAGAAAAAGCAAATAATCCAATAACAAATGGGCCAAGTAGCTTAACTGACAGTTCTCTAAAGAAGAAATTCAGATGGCCAACAGACACATGAAAAGATGCTCCACATCGCTAGTCATCAGAGAAATGCAAATTAAAACCACAGTGAGATATCACCTCACACCAGTAACGACAGCCACCATCCAAAAGACAAACACCAAATGTTGGCGAGGTTGTGGAGAAAGGGGAACCCTCCTACACTGCTGGTGGGAATGTAAATTAGTTCAACCTTTGTGGAAAGCAGTATGGAAGTTCCTCAAAAAGCTCAAAATAGACATACCATTTGACCCAGGAATTCCACTTCTAGGAATTTACCCTAAGAATGCAGCAACCCAATTTGAAAAAGACAGATGCACCCCTATGTTTATCGCAGCACTATATAGAATAGCCCCTGTAATGGAAGCAACCTAAATGTCCATCAGTAGATGAAGGGACCAAGAATGTGGTACATATACACAATGGAATATTATTCAGCTTTAAGAAGAATACATATCATACCATTTGCAACAACATGGATGGAGCTAGAGGGTATTATGCTCAGTAAAATAAGACAGGCAGAAAAAGACAAGTATCAAATGATTTCACTCGTATGTGGAGTATAAGAACAAAGAAAATCTGAAGGAACAAAACAGCAGCAGAATCACAGAACCCAAGAATGGACTAACAGTTACCAAAGGGAAAGGGACTAGGGAGGATGGGGGGGAAGGGAGGGATAAGGTGGGTAAAAAGAAAGGGGGCATTACGATTAGCATGTATAATACGGGGGGGGCATGGGGAAAACTGTGCAACACAGTGAAGACAAGTAGTGATTCTACAGCATCTTAGTACGCTGATGGACAGTGACTGTAATGGGGTCTGATAGGGGGACTTGGTGAAGGGGGGAGCCTAGTAAACATAATGTTCTTCCTGTAATTGTAGATTAATGATAACAACAACAACAACAAAATAACCCAGATAACTAATAAAATGTTAAGATTGTGAAAAAAAAGAAAAAATCAATTACTTCATTTTATACAAATTCCCCTTGTTTCCCAAGAAAGAATTAATTTTCAATAAGCCATGTGGAAAAAGACAAATACCGTATGATTCCACTTATTTTTGGAATATAAAAACAAAGCAAAAGAGAAGGAACGAAACTGTATTAGACTCATAGACACTGAGAAGTGACTACTGGTTACCAAGGGGGAAGGGAGTGGGTGGGGGGGCAGGTAGGGGACCTGTTGAACAACTGTAATGCACATTTGATGTATTTCAAGAAATGTTTTTGTAAAGAGAAAGATCATGGCTATTAATATATCTTTGAAATTGCTCTTAATCAGAACAAACTGTGCATAAAGGTCATCTAAATCTTTGGGGAGATTAATTGATTTTCCTACCTGTAGAACTTTCCCATGGACCACAGTTCCAAGGACTCCCGAACACAGTCTTGGAGTTAACCCTCTGAACAACCCACGCTTCCCATCAATGCTTGCAATGTGCCGAGCTAAGAACAAAGTCAGAGATTTAAATTCTAGTCAAGAGATGGATACATAGAAATTTTAAGGCAACAAATGCTTTCTATACATTTTCTTTCAGTAACTCCTGCCTATCACAGTTCTCGATGTCATTCAATTCCAAATAATTTAATGACACCTACCATAGCAAAAGAGACCAGGAAGCTGACATACTTGCCGCCCAAAAATATTTCGTCCTATGTTTGGAGGAAGAGGCTCATACCCCACCTTTAAACACAAGAGAATATATCAATACTCAGCAATATTCCCCAAGGCCGCCTTGGTTGCAAGGTCTTTAATAAATTACAGAATTAGGGTTATTAATTTTTAACATAAGTTAAAATGCAGTGCATGTTTTCAAAGGCAATGATGAGGTACCATACTTGTCAGTTTTCTATTTTGTCACGTGATAAGACTGGTTTCACTACACCCTGAGTTTTAGTCTGGTTTAAACACTGTAAAGTCAACAATGTAGCAGAGATAGCCTTATTTACAACTGAAGACAGAATAAGGGGACTTTTGTGTTAGGAAAGATACAGTTTACTGAGGAGGCTCAAGTAATTTTTAAGAAAATCTAACACTTTCTTTTTTTATATTTGGACAAAATGAGAAGACTAAGCCAGCATCAACTTCAAATTTTGGCTAGCAAGACAAAACGCCTTTAGGTATAATTGACTAATTCACCTGGGAAATCATTATAAACTAAGTTCATATTAAATAAGCACAGTCATTAACAATCCAATGAAGGCCATTTTAGAGTTAATGATTATCATTTTATTTCTACAGTATGTTCGGAATTTTCAGCGCTAAAGGGCTACTTGAAGAATGAACACTGCAGAAAGATTGCTATTGCTGATTCTTAACCTGTTCAATTAACTCCTGACTGAGGTCCCTGAAACTGGTGCTGTGCGTCTATTTTTAAAACTGAGTATTTGGGAATTTCACCAAAACCCCTGAGATGGCTACACACAGATATTGTGTGATCAAGGTTAAGTATATTCAGGTTTTGAGGCAAGAGCTTTATATGTCACTAGAAAACCTTGCCTTCTGAAGAAATACTGAGTAATGAGCCTATACCAGATTTGTTGCAAAATGCCGTCACCTCAGATACAAATGTGCCAATTGTTTCAGGACTCCTAGTGAATTTCAGTGAAAGTCTTTATTCTTGGTTCAAGGAACTTATTTTGAAATAGCCTTTTATATGTAGAATCTAAATCTGCAGGGATCAACTCAGCACCACATAATTTGGATTAGAATCAACTCAAGAACAAGAAATGTGGCCCTTCCTAGTGTCTTGCATATATTTTTGACAGAAAGATAGAAGGTGAGGATTGGACTTCTAAAACTGCTCCCTTCCTTCGTACAGTACATAACATAATTAACTCAACTCTCAAGAACAGTTTAAAAAATAAATGACCTGCTCATCACAGGGAAATCTAGAAAGGCAATTGAAAATACTATCTAATAGTCTATCATCAGCTAAAGCCCAGGGTACTTGCCTGTGAATATATCATTTAAGAACTATTTCACAGCAGCTTAGAAACTAACACATATGCTTAAACTTGCCAAAACTTTCAGCTTAAGTGATTTCCAGCTCTGACAATGTAATTTTCACTGCTCAGTGGATTTTTCCGAAAATTTGACTCAGCCACCCCTTCATTATCACTTCTGAATGAACTCCTTGTGTTTATCTGGGTATCTGGTGCTAAAATCTCAGAACAAAATACCAGCAGGATCAGTAAAAAATGAAGAAAAACTGATAAACTGTTGGCTCCCCTTTAATTTCAAATTTGTCTGCAACAGATTTCATGTCTTGAGTTTGCGGCGGGGGAGGAGAGATGAATGCTAATTTCAAAGGGGCGAGAAGGGGGGGCTGGAAAGTCCTTGGGGGCAACCAGCCAGGCAACCTCAGGAAAGAAAAAACGCAGTTCGGAGGAGCCACCCAGCCCGGAGGCAGCTGGTTACAGGGCAACGGGCGGCCTCACCGACCGTCAGGGAGGCAGGACTTCGGGAAGGCCCGCGAGCAGTGGAGCGCTGCTGGCGGTAGAAGCTACCCCCGACGGGAAGGAAGGGCCAGCGCCCCGGGAGACTACAGCCCGGGAAGTCTGGAGCCGATCCTCGGGCGCTGTAGGCAGCGGGGACCCAACAGGCCGCCGGGCGGGGAAAGGAAAGGAACGGCGACGACTCATACCTGGATGAGCACCTTCACATACATGAGAGGCTGGGACAGGATGGTGAGTCCGGAGCCCAGGATGACCTGACTGGCCGCGTCCGCCATGACGGCACTCGCCGACCGACAGATTGAGCCACCAAGCGACCTAGACGCTCCGGATCACGTGCCAGGGCCGCGGCTCCGCTGGCCCGCCCGCGGCGCGCGCCTCCCGCTCAGGTCCCGCCCGCCGCCCAGCACTCGCTTGCGAGCGCCTGCCGTTGCTCGGGGCGGGGCGGGGCGGGGCGGGGCGGGGCGGTGGGCGGGGCTTACGGACCCCGGCCGCATGCGTTCTGTAGTGGGAATCCGCGGCAGGTTCTCCGGCGCTTGCGCAGGCCAGTAACATCCGGAGGGAGAAGAATGGGCGTGGCAATGGGGGTGTGTGACCGTGACGGCGAAGGCAAGGTCGGGGGAATAAAAAGAAAATCATTCTTCCTGATGCTTCGCTTCCGCACTTGCACTTTGGGCATAATCAACGTACGGTCCAAAGGTATACAGCTTGAGAACCATAAATTATCTAATGGCCGTCAAAAACTAGATAAGTCTGATACAGACTTATAAATCCATCAGCGGGTAGCTATTCATGCATTTATTCTTTAAATATAACCTCAGAAATGCCTTCTCTGACCTCTACTGAATTTACCTCCGCCTTATTTCCCACCGTATGGTCCTGTAGCACTTAGCATTGTCTGAAATTGTCTCTTCCACTAAAATGTTAAGTTCTGGCTCTTTCCTCCATCTTCCGGTGTTGCCATCATGGTGCGTGTGAATGACCTGGCCAGTGCTCTAAAGAGCATCAACAATGCCAAAAAGGGGCAAAAGCCAGGTTCTTAATTAGGCCAGTGTGGGGAAGTTGGGCTTGCCATGGCCAGAATCCTCACCAACTTAAACCACCTGATGATGTAACTGGCATGTTGCTAGGCTACCGCTTCCACACCTTTAGGCAATAAGGTATTACAACACTATATAGAGAGCTCGGCCCAGTGCTCTGGGCGGAGGTAGAGACGCTAGTGCTTGACCTACCGCCAGAGAACAAGACGGGTAATAAACCCTTTCACCCCAAAGAACGTTTTGCTGTCAATTTCTTTGGTCACACTGAATCCATAGCGAATTTGCCAGGGGCTGAAACCCATTGGCAAGACAGCCGTGCTCGACAGTCATCCTTGGGTTTCTAACTGTAATGATGAAGCATGGATTACATTGATGAATTTGAAATCATTGATGATCACAGAGCTGGGAAAATTGTGAATCTCCCAGCAGCTTAAACAAGTGTGGAGCGATCAGCCCCAGGTTTGATGTAGAGCTCATAGATTGAGAAAAATGGCAGAATAACCTCTCCTTCTGTCAGATTGGTTTCATTGTACTGACAACTTCAGCTGGTATTATGGACCATGAAGAAGCAAGAGCTTCTTCTCACACAGAAGGGAAAATCCTGGGATTCTTTTTCTAGAGATGTAATACACATTTGCAAATAAAATGCCTCAGTGGACTGGGTGCTTCCCTCAGTCTTTCTGAACTTTACAGCAGAGTTGTAAAAGTGTTTGCAGCATTGTACAGCCTTTGTGTTAATTGGTGAATGCGGTTCCCCTGAAGTGAACAAAAAAGTCTTGACCTGTGATGACTCGCACCATCATTCTCATGGTTTTCCAAAGGACGGGGAGGTATCTGGCCCTGGATGGTTGATTCTGGGTTAGGGTCCAGGTAGTGAAGCTGTCCCTTTCTGGAGTTTTCTATTAACCTTGGAAGAAGTGATGCATTTCCTGTTTTTAGCTTGACAGTAATATGTCATGCACTATTGTTAACTGCCCTAATTGTATATGGCTACGGTCAATATGTAACTGCTTATAAGGAAGCAGACAATGAGAGCCCACAGCTCATTAACACTCATCACAAAGTAAATTTGGATGGCACGACAGGAGGATTTTAGTAATATGTGTTTGTAAAATGTCATTTTAAAAAATGAGACATTTTTTTAAACTAGCTACACTATTAAAAAAAACAGCTCTGTGAGCTCAGGAACCCTTACAGCCTTCATTCACTGCTGTATACTCAGTGCCTGGCACTTACTAGGTGTGCAGTGAACATTTATTGCATTAATGAAAAAATTGAAAAGTGTCCATCAGGTTACAGGCTATTAGAGGCAAAAAGAAAAAGGCATTGTCTTTACCGCTTCAGACCCCAGCTCACATGCTCTGTATCAATGCTGTGTGAGGCAGAGCATGACTCAGAGACTTAAGTACCCAGAGAAGACTTGGATTTGGATCCTGGATCACCTTTGTATCCAAATGATTCAGAAGTTGTTTTATCTTCTTATTTTAAATTTTTGTATCTAAACTTGAGGATGACACTACTGCCTACCTCTCAGGGTTATTACTGAGTGTTAAGTTGTGCGTAGGATAAGATTTTTTCTAACTATATTGAAATAGTTTTAATTAATATTGTCCTATACTTAGCTAGGTGATATTGGGAGGCAGTTTACAAAGTGGGAACGAGCTTTGGAGTCCAGTGGACCTGGTCTGGATTACACCTCTACCAGTTATGAACTGTGTGACCTTAGAGACAGGACCTCTTTCAACCTTAGACAAACCTGTACAATAATATCTATTGTTGTGAGAGTTGAATGAAATAATATGTTTATCCAGCATGGTACACAAAAATATGTCATTGTATCTTTTAGAGTTGTAAGATTTAGTTGCTTATAACTAAATGAAGCAGTTTTTAAAAATGTTTTTATGAAGGTATTATTGATATACATATACTCTTATGAAGGTTTCACATGAAAAAACAATGTGGTTACTACAGTTACCCATATTATCAAGTCCCCACCCATACCCCAATGCAGTCACTGTCCATCAGTGTAGTAAGATGCCACAGATTCAATATTTGCCTTCTCTGTGCTACACTGTTTTCCCTGTGATCCCCGACGCCATGTATACTAAACATAATACCCCTCAATCCCCTTCTCCCTCCCTCCCCACCAGCCCTCCCACAACCCTCCCCTTTGGTAACCACTAGTCCCTTCTTGGAGTCTCTGAGTCTGCTACTATTTTGTTCCTTCAGTTTTGCTTCATTGTTATACTCCACAAATGAGGGAAATCATTTGGCACTTGTCTTTCTCTGCCTGGCTTATTTCACTGAGCATAATGTCCTCCAGCTCCATCCATGTTGTTGCAAATGGTAGGATTTGTTTCTTATGGCTGAATAGTATTCCATTGTGTATATGTAGCACATCTTTATCCATTCATCTACTGATGGACACTTAAGTTGCTTCTATTTCTTGGCTAGTGCTGTGATAAACATAGGGGTGCATATGTCTTTTTCAAACTCGGCTGCTGTATTCTTAGGGTAAATTCCTAGAAGTGGAATTCCAGGGTCAAATGGTATTTCTATTTTGAGCTTTTTGAGGAACCTCCATACTGCTCTCCACAATGGTTGAACTAATTTACTAGGGACAGATTTTGAAGTGATATTTTAAAACAAGAAGAAGTCACTTGTTAAGATTCGACATCCACTCCTGATTTTTAAAACTCTCATTAAAAAGTAGGAAAGATAGTCGATTTCTGGACACCCATCCCTGATCAATTTCCTTCCCTATTACCTAAGTAGGTTGCTACCTAGGGCAAATTGGGTTGCCTAAATTTGTTGTTTTTATCATTCCTGCTCTTGTCTTTTTATTTCTGCTATGTATGTATGTATTTCTAAACATTATAGTATTGGTTTACATGTTGGCTTTTTTTAATAAATGCTAATCCTTCCACAACTTTACTCCTTCCCCCAGATTGGGGAAGTTTTCAGCAATTACCTACTCAGAGACCCTTCTATCCCTTTTCCTCTCTCTTCTTCTTCTTGTACCCCTATAATGCAAATATTGTTCCATTTTGATTGGTCACACAGTTCTCTCAATATTCTTTCATTCATAGAGATCCTTTTTTCTCTCTGTGCCTCAGCTTCTTTGTATTCCTTTTCTCTAGTTTCTATTTCATTTATCATCTCCTCCACTGTATCTAATCTGCTTTTAATATCCTCCATTGTGCTCTTCAATGATTGGATCTCCAACCGGAATTCATTCCTGAGTTCTTGAATATCTTTCCATACCTCCATGAGCATGTTAATGATTCTCATTCTGAACTCCCTTTCAGGATGATTCATGAGGTCGATGTCATTTAAATGTTTCTCAGGAGTTGTATTAATAATTTTACTCTGAACTGGGTTCCTTTGGTGTTTCATATTTGTATATGGCACCCTCTAGTGTCCAGAAGCTCTACTCTCTGGAGTTGCTCAGCCCCTGAAGCAATGTCGGGGGTTGCAGGGGAGTAGTATTGTTGCCTGGGGGGAGGAAAGAGCTATTTCCTGCTTCTCGGCTGCTATGCCTGTCTCCACCACCTGGATAAATGGGCTGAGCACTCAGGTATATGCTTTTCATTTGTAGTTGCTGTAGATAGATCTTCCCTCTGGCGGACCTAATGCCAGGGTAGCCACTTTGTGAGCCAGTTGGGGCTGGCTGGGAGAAAGGCACAGTAGGCTGCATATCAGAGAAGGTGTCCTTGGAGCTGTGTAGCCTGCCAGGGAGCTGGAGCACCTGAAGATTGTGAAGGCTCCCAACCTGCTGGGCAGAGTGTACCCAGACAATTCTGTCTACCTGTCCTTTCTCCTGAGCAGTAAGCTCTGTGCAATCCTTGCCCCTTTAGCAGTTCTCTTGCTAAGGGCTTCCTTGTTAGGATGTCTCTCAGATGCCTGCCTTTCTTTTGTCCCAGAGCAGCTGGATATGGATCTCTGCTTTCCACTCATGGCCGGAATCTCAGTCTCTCCAGGAATTCTGCCTCTCTTAGCTTTTCAGCCCCCTAATCATGAGAGTACCATGCAAGCACCATAAAATGTAAGTTTGTGCTCCCAGAGCAGATATCCGGAGTTAGGTATTCAGCATTCTCAGGCCTCTACTCCCTCCCTGCTCCATTTCTCTTCCTCCTGCTGGTGAGCTGGGGTGGGGGAAGGGCTTGGGTCCTGCCGGGCCACAGGTTTGGTACATTAACTTGTTCCATGAGGTCTGCTCTTTTCTCCAGGTGTATGCAGTCTGGCACATCCCACTTTCCTGTTGCTCTTTCAGGATTAGTTGTATTAATTATATTTTCATATTACATGTGGTTTTAGGAGGAAGTCTCTGTCTTACCTCTCAC